GGAGGTAAGGGGAACAAGGGTGCTTATAGGTTGAGAATTGGGTCACGAAACGTAGGTACATTGACGGGTAAGGCTATAGAGTTGGCGAAGATCCTTCGGAAAATGAGGGTCAATTGTAATGACCCAACCAATCATTTTGACTTTTAGAACCCCGTTCCCCTAAATAAAACTCCTCATATGTGCTTTTATAAATTATGACTTATGGGGATGGTTGGTTCGGGTTTTGGAAGTGTTCGGGTTGAAATCGAAACACTTGGTTCCTTAAGTTGGCCTTAAAATGCTAAGTTTGACTTCGGTCAACATTTTGAGAAAACGACCCCGGAATAGAATTTTGATGATTCCAACAGCTCCGTATGGTGATTTTGGACTTAGGAGCGTGTTCGGAATTTTATTTGGAAGTCCGTAGTTAAATTAGGTTTGAAATGGCTAAAATAGAAATTTAAGTTTGAAAATTTGACAGGGAGTTGACTTTTTGATATCGGGGTTGGAATCCAGTTCTGAAAACTTTCATAGCTCCGTTAAGTCATTTATGACTTACGTGCAAAATTTGAGGTCAATCGAACTTGATTTAATAGGTTCCGACGTCGTTTGTAGAAATCGAAAGTTTCAAAGTTTATTAGGCTTGAATCTATGTGTGATTCGTGTTTTTAGTGTTGTTGGATGTGATTTGAAGACTCGACTAAGTTCGTATAATTTTTTTAGGACTTGTTGGTATATTTGGTTGAGGTCCCGAGGGGCTCGGGAGTGTTTCAGATGGTATTCAGAGTATTTTTCTTCATTTTGGCACTGCTGGTAGCTGCTGATTTCTGGTATTTTTAAATCTTCTTCGCGATCACGTGGGATTATTTGCGATCGCGTAAGGTTAATTGAGGGTTGCTGAGTTTTGTGCTTCACGATCGCGTGAAGCGGGATGCGATCGCTAGCTTTGATATTTTGTGACTCCAAGTGGAGGTCACGCGTTTGCTCTATGCGATCGCGTGAAAAGGGCTGCGATCGCGTAGAGTTGGGAACTCTGTGATTTGCGATCGCATGGGGATATCCACCATCGCGTAGAGTTATTTCTGGACAATAAAAACTTGTGCTTCGCGATCGCATGAGTTGGTCCGCGATTGCGTATAAGAAATCACTGGGCAGAATGTTTAAGTTCTGAAAATGGAACGATTTGGAGATCGGATTGAGGCGATTTTTAACTCGGGGTAAGTATTTTTAACTCAATCTTGGCTTGATTACCCGAATCTATCACTGTTTTTAACAATTAATTGGTGATTAAGTTGGAAAAAATTGAAAACCCTCTTGGATAGATTTGAGGATTTGAGGGTCGAATTGTTATCGGAATTTAGTTATTTTGATATGGTTAGACTCGTGGTTGAATGGGCGTTCATAGTTCGTAACTTTTGTCGGATTCCGAGACGTGGGACCCACGGACAACTTTTGAGTTAATTTCGGATTTTTATTGAAAAATATAGTATTTTATTATGGAATTGATTCTATAATTTTTGTTGACTGTGTCGAATTAATTATGACTAGATTCGAGTCGATCAGAGTCGGAAAATCGAGGGAAAGGCATACTACTTGATTAAATTGGAGCAAGTCGAGGTACGTGACTTGTCTAACCTTGTGTGGGGGAAATTTCCCCTAGGATTGGTATTGAAGTGATAAATTGAAATGTATTGAAAGTCGTGTACACGAGGTAACGAGTGTGTACACAGGCTAAATGTGAAAGATTATGTCTTTAAATTGTGTAGATCGTTGTTGCATATTAATTAAATAATTTTACCTTGTTATATTCTTCATCATTGATTTAAATGTTTATACTTTAAATTTCTTGACCTTTTCCTGCTAATTGTTTTACCTGTTTAGTTGAAACTTGGTTTCTTTTATTCTATGCATTATTTGAAGGGTTATTTTTTTAAAATTAAATATTATTAATATGAATTATTTGACATTTTAAATTTGGTATTGAAGCAACGTATTAAAATTTTGAAATATTATTTTTGTTGAGTTATTTATTCCCAAATATTTTGTGAGATTTTCGTACTCATTGTGATGGAGCTGTGAGCTCTTTATTGTAAAAAAATATTATTGTTGAATTATTTTGGCATGAGTCGTGAGATCTTTATTATGGAAAAATATTATTGTTGAATTATTTTGGCATGAGCCGTGAGCTCTTTATTATGGAAAAATATTGTTGTTGATTTATTTGGGCATTTGAGGTGCAAATTATGATATATTATGATATTGATACGCATACAGTGGTATAAGGTCTAGGTATTGAAACGCATATGGTGAGATAAGGGTGGCTTGATACGCGTGGCTAGTAGGAGAAACTACTAGAAGTCATGCAGTGTGATAAGGATGGCTAAAAACGCGGGATGCTATTTCGGAAAAAATGTTTTCTTTAAATAAATTGTGAAGGCTCCCGCTGTGATATAAGGAAATGAGATATTGTGAATTTATTCATGATTTGGAACTACGATGCGGTACATCGAGAGTGCCCTTGTTGATATTGATTTATGGCCGCAGTTGCCTTTGATTATTGTTGTAATTTTTCTTAAGGTTGAAAAGAATTCTGTTTTGTTTCCGCGAGGTATTAATTGCCATTATTTGGTGTAATTAGATGGTGACATACTACTTGACTCATTTCTATTGTCATTTTATCTTATTATATTATTAAACATTTTTACCATGCCATTATTTATTTTTCCAGTAAGGCCTGACCTGACCTCGTCACTACTCTACCAAAGTTAGGTTTGGCACTTACTGGGTACCGCTGTAGTGTACTCATACTATACTTCTACACATATTTTTGTGCAGATCCAGGTACATCTTACTAGCCCAGACTTCAGTGAGTTACCTGTGTACGGAGACTTCGAGGTATATCTGCCAGCGTCCGCAAACTCCGGAGTACCCTTCTATCATTATCATGTTGCTTCTTTATTTTCTTTAAACCTTGATATATAGAGACATTGAGAATAAATTCTTAGAAGCTTGTGACCTATTTCTACCAGATTTTGGGAGTTGTAATTATTTGATTTGTAGTTTATTTATTTCAGATATCTATTATTATTCCGCATTGATAAGCTTACCTAGTCTTAGAGACTAGGTGCCATCACGACCTCCTACGAAGGGTATTTGGGGTCGTGATATCAATATAGTGTGTGTCCAGGAGACAAAGTGGGTAGGGTCGAAGGAGAGGGACGCAGACGGGTATAAACTTTGGTACTCCGGAGTCCGAAAGGGTAAGAATGGAGTGGGTATATTGGTGGATAGGGAACTTAGAGAGTCTGTAGTTGAGGTTAGATGAGTGAATAATAGATTGATGATTATTAAGTTGGTGGTTGGAGAGTGCACCCTAAACATAGTTAGCGCTTACGCACCGCATACGGGCCTGGATGAGGAGGTTAAACGGCGCTTCTGGGAGGGGTTAGATGAGATTGTGCGCCAGGTTCTGCATGTTGAGAGGCTATTCATATGAGGGCATTTCAATGGTCATATTTGGTCGAATGTAGGTGGTTATGGCGAGATGCATGGAGGCTTCGGTTTTGGGGAGATGAACGGAGGATGTACCTCACTGTTGGACTTCGCTAAGGCTTTTGGGTTGGTAATTGCGAACTCTAGCTTTTCGAAGAGGGAGGAGCATTTTGTTACTTTTTAAAATGCGATGGTGAAGACTCAGATTGACTATCTCCTCCTCAGGAGATGTGACAGAGGGATGTGCAAGGATTGCAAGGTTATTCCGGGTGAGATTCTCGCCACACAACATAGGCTCTTTGAGATGGACGTTAGTATTATGTTAAAGAGGAGGAAAAGGTCTGCCCGAGGAAGACCGAGAATCAGGTGGGGAGCCTTGACTAAGGATAAAACTCAAAAGTTGGAGGGGCGGTTGTCGGCTATGGGAGCCTGGAGGAGTAGGTTTGAAGAAAACAGTATGTGGTCGACGACTGCAGACAGTATAAAGGAGGCTGAGAGAAAGGTGTTAGGGGTTTTGATAGACGTCTCTGGCGGGCACAAAGGAGACTGGTGGTGGAATGAAATGGTCCAAGGTAAAGTGGAAGCGAAGAAGACGGCGTACCTGAAGTTAGTAGGGAGAACAGGTAAGGAGGAGAGACGAACGTGCATGGAGAGGTATAAGGTAGCTAGAAAGGAAGCTAAGCTGACTGTCACGGAGGCTAAGACTGTGGCTTATGGTCGTATGTACGAGGAACTAAGGGAAAAAGGCGGGGAGAAGAAGTTATTCCGGCTGGCCAAGACGAGAGAGAGGAGGGCTCGGGATTTAGATCAAGTGAGATGCATCAAGGACGACGATGGTAGATTATTGATGGAAGATGCCCAGATTAAGAGGTGATAGCAAACTTAGTGGGCGTTTGGACATAAGAATTGTAAAATTCCAAAACAGGTAGAAAAAAATTTTCAAGTGAAAATGGTATTTGAAATTTAGAGTTGTGTTTGGATATGAATATAATTTTGGATTATTTTTGAAGTTTTGTGAGTGATTTGAGTGAAAACTTTTATGAACCAAAGCTGATTTCAAAAAAAAGTAAATTGTTTTTGAAAAAAAGGAAAAACTTTCTTATGTCTAAACGGGCTCTTACTTTCATAAACTTCTGAATAAAGAAAGGGATCGAGATATTGTGCTAGGTGAACTGGAGCATTCTGAGAGACACTGTGACTTTGGGTACAACAGTCGCATCGAGGTTGAGGAGGTAGTGGGAGCTATGCATAAGATGAGTAGGGGCAGAGCGACCGGGCTAGACGAAATTCCGATTGAATTTTGGAATTGTATGGGTAGAGCAGGTTTGGAGTGGCTGGCTGGGTTATTTAATGTTATTTTTAGGATGAAGAGGATGTCGGATGAGTGGAGATGGAGTACGGTGGTTCCGTTTTTTCAAGAACAAAGGCGATATCCAGAGTTGTAACAATTATATGGGTATCAAATTACTGAGTCATACCATGAAAGTTTGGGAGAGGGTGATTGAAGCGAGGGTGAGGATGATAGTGTCTACATCCGACAACCAGTTCGGGTTCATGCCAGGTCGTTCAACTACGGAAGTTATACACCTTGTTAGGAGGTTTGTGGAACAATACAGGGAGAGGAAGAAGGATCTGCACATGGTGTTTATTGACCTTGAGAAAACGTATAACAAGGTTCCTAGAGAAGTTCTCTGGAGATGCTTGGAGGCAAAAGGTGTACTAGTTGCCTATATTATGGCGATTAAGGACATGTATGATAGGGTTAAGACTCGAATTAGGACTATAGGAGGTGACTATGAGCAATTTCTGTTTGTTATGGGGTTACACTAAGGTTCTGCGCTCAGTCCGTTCTTATTTGCCCTGGAGATGGATGCGTTAACACATCATATTCAAGGGGAGGTGCCATGGTGTATGCTATTCGCTGATGGCATAGTTCTGATTGATAAGTCCCGAGTCGGTGTTAACGAGAGGTTGGAGATTTGGAGACAAGCTCTTGAGTCTAAGGATTTCAAACTGAGCAGGACGAAGATGGAATACCTAGAGTGTAAGTTTAGCGCTGAGCCGAGGGAAGCGGGCATGGATGTGAGGCTTGAATCACAGGTCATCCCAAGTAGAGGCAATTTCAAGTACCTCGGGTCTGTTATCCAGGGGGGAAGATTGACGAAGATGTCACACACTGTATTGGGGTGGGATGGATGGAGTGGAGGTTAGCATCTGGATTCCTGTGTGACAAGAGAGTGTCACCGATACTCAAAGGTAAGTTCTATAAAGTGATGGTTAGACCAACCATGATATATGGGATTGAGTGTTGGCATGTTAAGAACTCACATATCCAGAAGATGAAAGTAGCAAAAATGAGGATGTTGAGGTGGATGTGCGGGCACACGAGGATAGATAAGATTAGGAATGATGATATTCGGAGAAGGTAGGCGTGGCTCCCATTGATGACAAGATGCGGGAAGCGAGGCTCAGATGGTTCGGGCATGTACATAGGAGAAGCTCAGATACTCCGGCAAGGAGGTGTGAGCGGCTGGCTGTGGAGGGCACGAGAATAGGTAGAGGGCGGCCTAAAAAGTATTGGGGAGAGGTGATCACGCATGACATGGCTAGGCTTCAGATTTTCGAGGACATGGCCCTTGATAGGAAGATGTGGAGGTCGAGTATTAGGGTTGTAGGTTAGGAGATAGTTGAGTCTTGCCTTACTTCGTACCTTTGTGAGACTAGTGTGGTAGGACTTTTGTCGAAGATAGCTAGTGGTAATGTTGTGTCTTACTACTCTTTCGCTTCTCACACTGTCGGGCCTATTTACTGGCTATCGCTTTTGCTTTGCATTTATCTTCTGGTTTTCATGTTGTTATTTTTCCTATGATCTTTGTGATGGTACTGATATTGTCTCCTTTTGTCTTTTGTCTTCTTGAGCCGAGGGTTTTTCGGAAACAACCTCTCTACTGTTCGGGGTAGAGGTAAGGTCTGCGTACGCACTACCCTCCCCAAACTCCACTAGTGGGATTTTACTGGGTTGTTGTATACTTATAGGCACGAATTTCTAAGGTACTTTTTCTTTTTACTAATATTACTATTATCTGTCCATGTGCAGCAACATGTCAATTTTATATAGACTCATCCCATATGTAACAATAAAATAATTTGTGAGTATGCGGTCCGTCTAATTCCCTCAAGGAGGAGGGAGTTGTTTTTTCCTTTTCTTTAAAAAAAATACTACTTATTAGATGCAGTTAGTCAGTGAATAATGAAAGAAGGAAAAAATAAATGATGTTAATTTTTTCAAAACATTTTGGCTTTTTCCAAGGAAAAATAGTTGGGTTGGATTAGGGAAAAAAGATATAGTATGAAGTTAAGTTTCTTTTTTCTTTTAATTGGTAGTGAATTTTTACATTTTAGTGGGGTAAGATGGAAGAGATTTTTTTTATTTTTATTTTTCGCTTCTATTTTTATATTAGGTGTTGGAGTAATTTTGGGCCACTTATTGATGATAATAAAGCTTGAATTTTTGGTTTAGAAATTAGATTTAAATGAATTGATTTGAATTTGATTTTTCAAAATCCTTTTATTCCATTTGCTGATTATCAAACCATTTTTGATTTTCTAAAAAAATGTTGATTTACATTTTAGACTGATTTTTTTAACCGTCTTGGATTTTCTATTTTGATACCAACCAGCTCAATTTTATAACTTAACATCAATAATCACCTCTAATAGACTTACTTAAGTTTCTTCTTACCACGTTTTGTCTTTGCTAGAACTATTTCAAGTTTTCAGCCATATTTTAATTTTATATAGGCTTCTCATATCTTAGAAAACAAAAAGAATACTTTTAATTCAAGTCAGTATATGTGGATTTGGATTTTGACTAACTATCAAAATATAGATATGGATTTTTGGTTTGAAACCAGACTGTAAAATGTTTATCCTCTAAAACGGAAAACCTAACTCGTTGGCATCGAATTTAATTTCCTAACTAACCATGAGTTATGTTTTCTTCTTCTTTTTTTTTTAGTAAAGCAAAAAGGTTTTTTTTGTTTCCCGTCCGGTGTCTGGTACCCGCATTGGAGCTCGAATATATCTGACTCCGCACTGCCATCGTATGGCCCCATTCAGGGGGAAACACTCCCTACCAAAGATTTTTTCATACTTAGGACTCGAACCTGAAACCTCTGGTTAAGGGAAGATCAGCCACATCCGCTGCACCACATCCTTTGGTGGTAAGCAAAAAGTTCACATAACAAAAACTTTATTAAAATGTATGCCCAATGTATACGGTAAAAACCGGTCTCAAGAGTTAGGTGATTTAGAAAGCGACATGTGTCAAGGATAACCAGTCGGTAGTGACTCAACCATGGTGATACCGGATACGAACTTGTAACCGAATAAGAAACAATTCAAAATATGACCGTTATGAAAACGTTACAGAAGACTCCAAGATTCCTCCGGCCTTTATTAGTCTTTATTACCCTTTACAACCCTTTATTATTCTTTATTACCTTTTAATTACCTTTTAGTATAACATTAATATTGGCAATTAAGGGGGCATGGTTTGTAATCAAGCACCTCATAGCTCTAGTATAAATAGAGGCTTTCATTCTATTGTAAGGGAGTAGAAGACATGATCAAGAAATACTAATAGTAAAAGACTAATATTCTTCATCTCATTCTCTTAAGCTTTATACAAGCGTGTTCGAGTTTTTCAATTATTATCGATCCCAGTGAGAACATTCTAAAGCTCATGCTTGTTTTTCTTCAATTATCTTTATTTACGCTGTTTACACTTTGTTATTTTACTTTATCGGATCAATTTAATTCACGTGTCTATAAATCACATTATAAATTCAACTGTATCATTTTACGGGTAAATAGTTTGGCGCCTACCGTGGGGCTTAGACAATTATGGTGTTATTTTAATATGTTCATCCATGGGCGAAGCCACATGGTCATAAGGGTGGTCAAAAAATTATATTGTGTATGTAGGTAAAATATTATGTTTTAGAGGTATATAACATATATTGAATAACCTTTGTCGAGAATGTTTTTTTACATCTTGGAGAAATTTGAACACCCTTGGAGAAATTCCTAGTTTGGCCATTATCTTCATCTTTTACTAACGTACTTTAAAACTTTTCTGTTGTAAGCATAAAACAACTATGACACCCAATAATATCAACAACTCGTTCAATATTGAAACAAGCAACAACGAGGAGCCCGTGGACAATATCCATGATGGAAATCAACAGAATGGTTCAACCAATGAAACCTGTCTCAATAAGAATGAGTAAACTCCTAACTGGGTAGAAAAAAATACTCGACATAAGAGGAGTCCTACCCATAATGATATGGATAATGAGTCGGTGGCTGATATCGTAAAAGTGCTGAGAGAACAACAATGGGAGATCATGAGTCATCACTCAAGACAGGACCAAATAATGACTGGGCTCCAGTAAGCGTTATCGGGGGCTTCAAATATTCAAATGATGGAGTTTGAATCTCTGCCAATAAGTCAAACGGTCCTGGAAACCGGAAACGTTGCGTCAAGAAGAAAGTTTAGATCAAAATATAACCAAGCATATGGTGCATGCAGCGTATCTGAAAATGAAACCAACGCAAACGATTCTTTCAAAGCCAAACTCATGAGATGTATGAGAGAGATAAATTCTCTAATGGATCAGAATGTTAAACAATTTCATGCTCGGATAGATAAGATTCCGCGGGCACCACTGGTCCTAAAGGGCCCGGACTCGAAAAATTATTTTTAATTGCCATTCAAACCTAGTGCGGCCCTGAAATTAATTCCGAAAAGATTCAAGATGCCCTATATTCTGAAGTATGAGGGAACATCGGATCCAGAGGAACACATTACAAATACACTACAGCCATGAAAGGAAATGATTTGGCTCCACATGATATTGAATTAGTCTTGTTAAAGAAATTTGGTGAAACCCTAATAAAAGGGTGTCACGACCTCAAATTTCCTCCATAGGATGTCGTGATGGCACCTAGTCTTTAAGACTAGGTAAGCCTATTAATTATGCGGAATAACTGAATATAAATATGAAACTCAATTCTTAATAACTGAAATAAATAAGAACGGCAGCTTAAATAATCACAACTCCCAAAATCCAGTAGAAATAAATCACAAACTTCTAAGAATTTATTTTAAGTGTCTTTATACATCGTAGTCTAAAGAGAATAAGGAAAACAACACAATAAGGATAGATGGGGACTCCGAGGTCTGCGGACGCTGGTAGATATACCTTGAAATCTCCGCGTACGACTAATTCACGGATGCCTGGTGTGATAAAAAGTACCTGAATTTGCACAAAAAAATGTGCAGAAGCGTAGTATGAGTATACCACAGCAGTACCCAGTAAGTGTCAAGCCTAACCTCGGTAGAGTAGTGACGAGCTAATAGAATCATAAAAGATAGGGTATAAAGTTTAACAATATAATAATTATAATGACAATGGGGATGAATCTAGTAAGTAGTATGTCACAATTTAACTACACGGGATAAAGGCAAATAACACCTCGCGGAAGGAAAACAGAAATTTACAGGCAAATGCAGCCATAAAGAAATATCAACAAGGGCACTCCCGAGGTACCGTCTCGTAGTCCCAAATCATAAATAAATTCACAACATCTTATTTTCTTATATCACTGCGGGAGCCTTCACATTTAATTTTAAAGAAAATATTTTTTCCGAAATAGCATCACGCATTTTAGCCACCCTTATCATACTGCATGACTTCTAGTAGTTTTCCTACTAGCCACGCGTATCAAGTCACCCTTATCTCACCGCATGCGTTTCAACACTCAGACCTTATACCACCGCATGCGTATCAATATCACAATATATCACAATTTGCACCTCAAGTGCCCAAATATTTCAACTTGCCAAAATAAATCAACAACAATAATATTTTCCACAATAAGGAGCTCACGGCTCAATAACAATGAGTATAAAAGTATCACAAAATATTCGAGAATGAAGAACTCAGCAAGAATAATATTTCACAAGTTTTTTAGCTCGTTGCCTCAATACCAAATTTAAAAATGTCAAATACTTCATATTAATAATAATTTAATTAAGAAATTCAACTTTCAAATATTAAGCACAAAATAAAAGAAACAAAGTTTCAACTAAACAGGTAAAGCAATTAACGGGAAAAATGTGAGAAAAATTTAAAATATAAAAAAAA